AAAAGGAAAAAAATGGAAACAAAGTCTTTGCAAATAGGGAAGGGTGGAGGGGGTGAAGGGAGGGCAGGGGAAGGGGGAAAAAAAAGAACCAAGATATTCATGTAACGGTACAAGGTCCCAATGATGAATGTAACTGTATTGTATACCTAAAGTGTACCAATAAACTTAATGGGAAAAAAAAAAGGTGGACTCATTTGAAATCTATACCCAATGTCTGATCAGAACAGAGAGCAAGCGTTCAGCACATTTTATGGAAAGGCTACTCATATAAAGCTGTTGAAATGTGCAATGACCATGAACTTTGTCCTGGATTATGCATTTCTGCGGTATGCAACAGCCTGGTTGGAGTTCACAAAATAATACAAAGGAAAGGATTCTGAAAGAAGGATGCGAAGTCACACAGAGTTTGGTCAATTTTATTCTCTGTCATTTGTTCTCTCTTACATTATCTCTGTCAGCTGTGACAAACAGAGTTGAGGGTTTGTTTCTTTGACAATCATGAGCAAGCAGCACAAGCCAGAAGCTGTCAATGGTGGGGAAACCTGAAAGAGAGAAATGTACTCACAGATGAATGAACTGACTTTATGGGTGAGACAAATTCTGAACTCACGGTCAATGTATATATTTTATCTTGACTATCCCAATGATGACATTTTCTGAATTTGGAAAACACAAAGGGATGAAGAAGCTGAAATATGGATGTGTTCACAAGAGGCAGCTCATTACACACACTGTGCTGCCGCTGCTGTTAGCCCCCAAGTTAAAAGATGAACATTTCAGTTGTTTCTCACCTTTTACTAATGTTGCAATGAATGACATTATATACCAGTCAGCCTTCCTCCCATTCTAGTATAGAACAAATGCTAAAACAGTAGCTAAAATATACCTTTGTTGAGAGCTGGACATGGTACTGTACACCTGTAATTCCAACACTTAGGAGGCTGAGGCAGGATGACTGCTGCAAGTCCAAGGCCAGCCTGGACTACACAGTGAGACCCAGTCTCAAAATACCCGAATTAGTAAAATAGCTAACTTTGTTGAAAGAATGGCAAGAGCTAATCTATGTGAAGCCCCTTTATAAATTGCCAAGTGTTAAGTACTGAATCACTGGATAAATGATCTACAAATTATGTTTCATAATCTACTCATTTAGTGTATGGAGGTCTGCTTTAGAAAAAAATTTTTGCTCTTTTTTTTTTTGGTACCAGGGATCGAACTGAAGAACTTATGCTTGTCAGGCAAACATGGTACCACTGAGCTAAATCCCTGGCCCTAGAAAAATTTTTTCCTGTCCTGTACCCCAGATGATGAATGTAATCCTTAAAAATAAAAAAATCTATATCATTTCTAATATTTGCAAATCATATATCTGAGAAAGGGTTAATATCCAAAATATACAAGGAACTCATACTACTCTATAACCAAAAATCAATCAATTTTAAAAATGAGCAAAGATTGTGAGTAGCCATTTTTAAAAGATATGCAAATGATCAAAACATATTTTAAAAGATGCTTGCTATCACTAATCATCAGGGAAATACAACCCCCAAAATGAGACATCACCTCACACCTCTCAGGAAGAAGGGCATTTATCAAAAAGACGAGAGGTAAGTGCTGGTGAGGGTACGGAGAAAAGGAAACCTTCCTACATTGTTGCTGGTGGAGTGTAAAGTGGTATAGCCACAGAGAAAGCTATGGACTTTCCTCAATAAATTACAATAAAATTACCATGATCCA